TGCATTTGAATCATGGTGTTGGCGAAGACTATTGATTTTACCACGGACTGCTAGAAGAACGAACAAATTTGTACAGTCAGAATGCTCCTTAGAAGTGAGGAAGACCCCTAACAAGATGGATTGACACACTGGACACAAATATAGCAACAATTGTGAGGATGGTACAGGACTAGACAGTACTTAATTCTGTTGTGCATGGGTTGCTATGAGTTGAAACCAGTTGGTGTGGCACTGTAAGATAAGCACAGGACCACAAGGTCAGTTTGAACTACAGAAGGCAGGTGGTTCAAATTCACCAGCCACTCCTTGGAAAACCTGTACTGCAGTGCTATGAGTCAAAACCGACTCGATGGCACTTAACAACAATAAATGCATGACATAGGCAGTTCCAATCTATCTGCATCGTAGGAAAAGATGTCCAGCTTGTTGCATCATTCTGTTTCTGGGTCTCTGATGCAGGAGGCAAACAAAGTGTAAAATCATTATACCTTCTTTTATATCACGGCTCTGCTCTTGCAAACAGCAAACCATATATCGGATTTGGGTTCTCAGTTTGTTTCCATGTTTTTGCTGTTGTTGTGCCACTGAGTCAGTTTGACTCATAGTAATCCTATATAGGGTCTTCGAGGAGTGGCTGATGAGTCGGAACCACCAACCTTGAGGTTCAAATCAATCTTGCAGTCTAGTACATTATCCTACAGCACCACGCCAGAATTCCATTTTGCTTTCATAGGTCTTGTTTAATTTTGACCTGGATTTTGGCACAAGTTTTACAATCAGCTTTGAATTTTACTGATATAAATTTTTCTATCTTTATTTGTGTGTGCCTTTCTCAGTATATGGGGAGGAATTGACAGATGCTGTATCTGAGGCTGCTGCAGAAATGGTATTTAACTAGTTGTCTCCAAACTACTGTGTAAGTAAATATTTGTTTGAAGAATTTGGCCCTTTATGTCTGTGAAAGGATTGACAGCAACATCTGCAATTTCGCAATAGATTTATTTTTAGGAATTGGTATAATTATGTAGATTAATCATTATCATTCAGTTCAATTCACATTTCACCCTCATGTCTCTCTTTCTCTGTCTCATCAGATTCATCTGTTTCTCTCTGGTGCTAAATGCTTAATCTGAGCATCTTAATTTCATTCCTCTGTTCAGCTAGTGGAGAACATTCCCACCCTGCCTCCACTGCAGCTTGTGCCTCACACTGATTTAGTGCGTTTCTCCAGCGGCAGTTGTTGGATGCGGCTTTATGCTATCTAGGGACACACGGTATCTTAAAGCTCTGCTACAAATGGTTTCCTCTCCAGCCTTTCAGTACAGATGATAACTGTAGCCCAAGGCTTGTGAACAAAAGAGACATTCCATTTGATAAATACAACCTCTGGTTAGGAATCCTAACCAGAGGCACCGTAGGATAAGCACTGGACTGCTAACTGCAAAGTTGGCAGTTCAAACCCCCCAGCTTCCCCTTGATAACCCTGTACAGGGTCGCTAGTAAAAGAGCTCTGGTAGCGTAGTAGTTACGAATCGGGCTGTGAGCCTCAAGATCAGCAGTTCAAAACTACCAGCTGCTCCATGGGAGAAAGATGAGACTTCTGCTTCTGGAAAGATTTACAGCCTTGGAAACCCCATGCAGGGTCGCTGTGAGTCGGAACTGACTCCACATAACCACCACCAGGAGTTAGAACTGACTTGATGGCACTTAACAATAAATAACTAATAATCTCTAGTTAGTTGCTAACTGTACTAGATGAGAATGTTGAGAAAGGCTCTTCAGGAAGTTTCTAGGCTAGTGTGCAAGGTCAATATTTGGCCAAATAGTTACACTATAGTGTGAGGAGTTCTGTGGTAGTGAGATGGACCGAGTGTCCCCAAGACACAGATGCAGATGATTTATTCTGCAGGTCAGTAGTCAGAGGAGATAAATGCAACAAACAAATGAAAACCAAATTCACCATTGTGGGAAGTATTGTGAAAAAGAAAATTATCAGCAACGGAATCATTGTTGTTGTTAAGTGCCTTCGAGTCGGAGCCGACCCATAGCGACCCTGTACAGGGTTTCCGAGGGTGTAAATCCTTACGGGAGTAGAAAGCCTCATCTTTCTCCCGCGGAGCGGCTGGTAGTTTCAAACCACTGACCTTAAGGTTTGCAGCCCAATTCGTAACCACTACGCTACCAGAGCTCCTTAGCGGAATCATTAGTAAACAATAAATTCAACAACAACAACAGTCTGGAAATCTGCATAGGCTAGCAGAGGTCTGAAGCTCTTGAGTAAGAATGCAGGCAAATCTCTTCCCTGCAGGAGGGGGTCAGTCAGCATAGTCACACATGCCTAGGTGTGGAAACATGTGTCTCTCATGTGTGAGTCCTGCTGTAGTGCTACTGGTCAATGCTCTGGATCAAAATGTCACTTTGAACCCCAAGATCAGTTTGAACCACAAGGCTGGCGGTTCAAACTCACCAGTTGCTCCTTGGAACCTCTATACAGGGTAGCTATGTGGCCTCAACAGCACTTAACAATAACAATACCGGAAAAACAAACTGTGCAGTGTGACTCCCCTTGATGTATTTGGGGGTGCTGGAAGTAAAGCTGAAGACTATTGTTGTTAAGTGTATAAAGTCATTTCTGACTCATAGTCGCATACAGGATACGTAGCGATCCTGTATAGGGTTTCCGAGGAGTGACTGGTGAGTTTGAACCACCAACCTTGAGATTCGAACCAACGTTATGGTCAAGTGCTTATCCTACAAAGCCACACCAGGACTCCTAGCTGCAGACAAGGAATGACCTTTTAAGTCATGCTACCGATTTTGAAATGTGTTCTTTGGGTGATTCAGGGGCTGTGATGCAGAAGCATGACATGGTCATATTTGTATTTTAGAAAGACAACTGGCAGCAGAATAGGGAGCAGAGGCCAAGAAAACAGGAATAATTTGTTCCTTCCAACTACATGTATAACTTGCGTTACATTATTCTTTGCTTTGAGATGCTGGTGAAGACAGTGGAGTAAATAAAAAAAGGAAAGAATCTAAACGAGGAAGACAGAAGGAACCCTCTGCAATAAACTATATAGACCCAAAGTAGGAATGAGGAAATGAAGGACAAACCTCTTACCTCCAGACCTTGTCTAGAAGCCAAAAACCAGCTTCCGGAGCTGTCTCCTGGGTTTTGATCTCTCCCTTCTCCCTTGCCTCCCACATCCACAATTGTCACTAAATCCATTTTAATTAAAAAAAAAAAAAATCCCTCACTATCCGTACCATTACCAACGTTAATTTCAGCTCTCTTTGATCCTGATGTAGATCCTGAAAAGCTGTTTTCCCTCTTCCTACTGAATGCTGCCCACAGATAATTCTCAAAAAGCCCTGCTCAGAAGGTTAATTTGAAAGCATAATAGTTAAAATTCACACTACATTTCTAGACTCTTATCTTACCACCCAAGGAGCCCTGGTGGCATAGAGGTTAAGCACTGGGCTACTGACTGAAAGGCTGGTGGTTGGACCCCCACCCCCACCCCCCCAGAAGCTCTGAAGGAGAAAGATGTGGCAGTCTACTTCCGTAATCATTGCAAAGTTGTCCTCCAGAGTCACTGTGTGTCAGAATCAACTCCATGGTTCTGGGTTTGCTGTTTGTATCTTATGAACGTATGGGATTGCTCTTGTTTCCTGCCTTGGGGCATAGTTTTCCTCTTTGGAATGTTCATTCCATGTTCTATTCAAAGCTCTACTCAAATCTTGTTTCTTGCTACAGTTTTTAGGGGGAGGAGAGTTTACCTTTCTTTCCTTTAGTACAGGAGTCTGATACCTGACCGTGAAAGGTCTCTTCCTTTATTTACACATATTATTGACCTAAATGCTGGGTAAATTTTCACAAATGGAAACCTATTTAGTTCAATTTAATCAATATTTATTGTGGCTCTAAGACATGTAGATGGGTCGGAACAAACTCGAAGACACTTAACAACAACAACAACAACAAGATATGTAGAGCATTGTAGTAAACAGTCTCAGGATGTCAGTGTTATAAATAAATACATCAAAGTTCTGACGCAAGAAGAGCAATTAAATTTACTTATTGAAAGATTATTTCCATTTCAGTTTTATGATTAATAACTGTACTTTTCAAATCAGATTATGATATTTTTCTTTCCTGAGCTGGTGAATTCCATAAGTAGGTGAAATAGTAGGTGGAAGTTTCATGAATGGGTTTAAATGACACACCTTTCACAGCAGGATTCAGGCTGAGTATATAGGTAATTGAGGCTTCAATATGGTACTCACCATTTCATCTTGATTGATATATTGCTGATTATCTCAGGAAGGGACTAGAAAAGGGTTCGGAAACCATGTTACATCCATTTTCAATTGAGTCCTTATACAAGTACCTGCGTTAGGTTCAGATTTCTCTGTGATTAATTTTCAAAGAAAACAAAAGCAATTGCTTTCCATTATTTTACCTGAGAGTAGAGTTAATAACAATGATCTTAAGAAATGTGATGCATAGAGGGGTCTATGTGAAAGTAGACAAGTTTGATAAAAAAAAAAAATCTAAGACTAAATGTATGATTGTGTCACCTCAGACATTTACATCAAAAACCTTCTGTCCTCTGGTACTCCAAGCAAAAACTATCAGTGACTTGTTTTAGTGCCATCGAGTCCGTTGTGACTCATAGCGACCCTGTACAGGGTTTCTGAGGAGCGGCGGTGGATTTGGACTGCCAACCTTGCATTTCAAACTGACCTCGTGATTCAGTTCTTATTCTACAGCACCGCACTAGGACTCCATCAGTGAATTAGCCTTAAGTAATTAGTAGTTTCATTTGACAAGAAGCAACGCTTTCCCAATAATGGAAATTTTCTCCCAGGGACATTTGAATATGACAAGAAAAAAATAAAAGATAATGATGTGTAGGAAGTAGTCATTTTTAAATACTGTCTGTTTAAGTCTTTGGTCAATGCATTCTAACTCTTCTTTTTCCTATCTTTAAATACAGAATCCCCTTCACCTACAACTGAGTTTAGAAAATTCATTAAGTTCTGATGCTGATGTCACTGTCTCAATCCTGACTATGAACAACTGGTACAATTTTAGCTTGCTGCTGTGCCAGGAAGACTGGAACATCACTGACTTCCTCCTCCTTACCCAGAATAATTCCAAGTTCCACCTCGGGGCTATCATCAACATCACCACCAATCTCTCCTCCACCGAGGCCCTCTTGAGCTTCCTGCAAGTCCAGCTTCAGAGCATTAAGAACAGCACATCCACAATGGTGATGTTTGGCTGCGACATGGAAAGTATCCGGCAGATTTTTGAAATCATCACCCACTTTGGGGTCATGCCCCTCGAACTTCACTGGGTGCTGGGGGATTCCCAGAATGTGGAAGAACTGAGGACAGAAGGTCTACCCTTAGGACTCATTGCTCATGGAAAAACAACACAGTCTGTCTTCGAGTACTATGTACAAGATGCCATGGAGCTAGTGGCACGCGCTGTAGCCACAGCCACCATGATCCGGCCAGAGCTTGCTCTCATTCCCAGCACAATGAACTGCATGGATGTGAAAACTGCAAATCTCACTTCAGGACAGTATTTATCAAGGTAGGATGTCCAACCTGGTCGGCCTTCCTATTCATAGGGCTATGACAGGAAGTAAAATGTCCTTACCTGTCCCTTTTGCGAAAATCTCGACGCTAAGTAACTTTGTTGTTGTTGTTGTGTGCTTTCAAGTTGGTTCCAACTCATAGCAACCCTCTACAGGGTTTCTGAGAGTGTCTGGTGGGTTTGAACTGGTGATCTTCCTTTTAGCAGTCCAGTGCTTATCCTACGGTGCCACACCAGGGCTTTTAAGTAACTTTAAACACTAGTAATTTGTCAGAGGGGATGTTTTGTTACATAGTCTCTAATTTGATCTACAGGTTTGTAAACATATAGGGTAGTGGGGAAACTCTCAGTCCTGCTTTTAAATCTTTGCTTAAAATTATGAATTTTTAGGAAGTTATTTAAATGTTCTGAGCCTGTTTTCTAATTAGTAAACCAGGATCCTACTGAATAGCTTGAGATGTTATAATATTTTATGTCATGAAATTATATGTGAAAAGTACCTAGCACTATGTGTGGCTCATAGCAGATGCATAACCATTGCTACTTTTCTGCTTATATTCTCCCATATCTATAGACTTGGACAAATCTCTGTAAATCTCTACATGATCTAAAGAGATTAAAAATTAAAAATAATGAGGCAAACTGCAAATGGACTTCTCTCTCTCTTCCCAGGCTTTAGTGCTTAAGGTAGTATAGTGTCTAAAGGCATGGGCTCTGGAGTCAATGTGAGCTTGAATTTCAGCTCTGCCACTTACTACTTGTGTGACTTGGTTAAAGTATGTAAGTACGTAGCTTTTCAAAGCCTTAGTATCCTTTAGGAACAATGGATATAGCAGTAGAACCTATTGCCTATGGAGTTATTGTAATAGATTGGAAATATACATAGGTAAATAGAGAGACATAGAAAGGGAGAGAATGTACCACAAACACCACAAAAATGCCATTATTATTATTATCACCATCATCATTACTATCCTGAATTATATATCTTGCTTCTCTAGTTTCAAACTGTTTCAGAGCTAGAATTAAAACAAAACAAAAAACCTCACTTAAATTAAAGAATAACTCATCATATGGAAACAATTTTCATGATCCCTGGGTTAATAGGAATATCCTTAAAGGATATTTTTCAGGAATCTAGAATTTCTTCTGGAAAGGGCCACCTATAGGAAGAGAGGCCAAGTTAGAGCATTGCTGCTGTTTCAGAAGTGAATGCTTAGCTCTCACCTAGGCCTCATTTTAGGCAACCTTCAGAGCACAGGACCATCTATCTGATTGTACTGTGTGGAGGAACCCAAGAACGACCCACAGTATCTTACCTATATAAAGGATATGACTATTTGGTAATGACTGAGGATGTCATAAGTATTTTCATTTAATTATGTGTTGTATTGAATACCTACTATGTGCAAGGTATGATTTATAAACTCCTTAAGGATTATTGTTAATAAAATACAATAATTCAAAATTCATTTATTGGGGATCTACTAATGATCAAAATAGATGTTCTATCAGTATCTGAACTTTCTATTATTCTCCCTATCATAATTAAATTTCCTCAAAATTTAAGTCAATGCATCTTTTTTTTTTGATAGGAGTGATTCAGATCTGATCCACTAATTATTTAAAAGCACATAATTGAGGCTCATGATTTTATCTTAGGAAAAGAATATTGTCCTTTTCAACAAACATAATAGCAAAACCAGGATTTATAATTTCTAGTAGTCATTATTTTGGAAGGACAGAAAGAAGAGACAGATGTAAGAAGATCACTTTTGAAAACTACATTAAGTTATTCAGTTTCTTTCTGGCTTATGAAAAATGGAGAATAGAAGAAAATGGTTTTCTTTGGATCTTAAAAATGTTTAGGAACTACAGAGAGAAGTATCTGTTGACTTAGGTATATATACCTTGTTGTTGTTAAGTGCTGTCCAGTCAGTTCTGACTCAGAATAATCCTGTATAGGGTTTCTGAGGATCGCCTAGTAGATTTGAACAGCCAATCTTGTGGTTAACAGTACAATTCACCTTCGGGAGGGGTTCATTTTAAAAAGGTGAAACTTTTCAAGTACCTCAAGATGTAATTTATATTAAATGCTATGCCTCCTTCCACACGGTCCCATGGCATTTTGCACATGAAATTATATAATGGTACTTAGCCCATTTCATCATCATTATCTGTCTATGTGTCTGACTGCTGAACTAGAATATAAATTATACTAAGCAGAGACACTATTATTCTGCCTAATCTGACACCTGGCGTTATAGCAGACACTTAATAGATAGTTATTGAAATTGGCATTGGAGGAAGGAAAGGAAACTTTATATTTTATTGACATCCCCCATCATCTACTGTTGTTGAAGAAAAATGGGTAGTTGATAGATAAATAAAATACTGTTTAAATTTTAAGATTACTATGTTTAGGCCTTATAAATGTTCTTCTTTTTTGTGCTGGATGCTAGGTTAGTGAGTAACCTCTATCCTCATTGCAGTTTCTGCATGTTGCTTATTCTTGAAATAAACTTGGGAAGTTTCAAAGGAACGCGAGGTTTCGAGCCTAGCAACAAATCACAATGTATACGGGTCAGTGGCAATCTTTTCTTCCCCATAGACATGTTTGAGAACTGAACTCAAAGAACTTCAGAAAATATACACAGGACTTCTTAAACTCCCTGTGGAATGCAGTCAAAGAGAAAGTTTCAAAGTGTTTGGCAAGGGGTCAAGGGAAGTGGGCAAAATCCTAGAAGGAATCATTATAATGAATAGCTGAAAAGCTGACTTAAGCCATGAAACATCTGTGGATTTTTCAGCATCCTTATTTATTTTGTTTAATGTGATCTTTTAGAAAGTTAGTTATCCTCAGCCCATAAGTCACATCTGCATACAGTAATTTTCTTAATTGTTCCTAAATTTTGCGAACCTGACCCTACTTCCTCACTGCATAATGAAAGCCCTGAGGATAATGAGGCATGAAAGGAGGATGTCAGAGTTATGCAAGCTTTCATTTTTCACATAATCATTTTTGGTTTGCACTGACAGAATTGTTAACATTTTTAAATGCTAATAAAATCACCAAAAAACATGGCATTTTCAGTACAGGCTTTTAGAATATAAAAATCATTTCTCGTGACAGACTACATCCCTGGACATTAGATGATTTCCAGAACGACTTGAGGCTAAAGGATATAATTCTATTGGATATCCCTGCCCCTCATCACTATAATCTACTGGCTTTGTGATCCTGAAAGAGTTGTTTAAAATCTTTGAACTTTCATTTCCTTATCTATAAGAATTGTTGTTGTCCAGAGAAACAGTGACACCAGAGATGGAGGCAGAGACGATGAAGTGGAGAGTTGGAGCAGCCAGGGACTCTAGATCCAGAGAGGGAGAGGGGCTGTGTGCTGATGACCAAGGGGCAGGCCTGCGGGGTGTACCCTTTGGCTGGTTGACAATGCATGGAGGGGATGGTAATCATGGTAATTAAATGATATAGGATAGGGTGAATGTAAAGCTAATGTTCTCACATGTAAACTATTACATAATTCACAATAAAACATTTAAAAATAAATAAATATGGCTCAAATTTAAATTTTTTTTTTTTTAAATTCTTGTTGTTGTTAAGTATCATTGAGTCAGTTCCAATTCACAGTGACCCTGTATAGAGATTTCAGGTGTGGCTGGTGAGCTTGAACTGCTGACCTTGTGGTTCAAACAGATTACTACCTGAAACAGTTACATGGCATGCCTAAGGTCATTTAGTTATTATCTTGTAGAAAAATATTTAGACCAATTTATCTCAATTCTAGTCTCAGGTTCTTTCAGAATCTTTCTTTATTTTTGTTGTTGTTGTTAAGTGCTGTCGAGTTGGTTCCGACCCATAGAGACCCTGTATAGGGTCGACCACTGACCTTGCAGTTCAAATGGCTTTGCAGTCTGGCACATTAACCCACAGCACCACACCAGGACTCCGTTTCTTTATTGGAGCCCTGTTATTTTGTAACTTGTATTCTTTAGACCATAAGTTATATAATTAAGAGGCATGATTACTCAAGTCTGAGTTTGTTGCCACAAGGCCCTCTAACCAAGCCAAATTCGTTAGTCTGTGTGTTTCTACACGTACTTAAAAAATGGTAGCTGCACAGAACCTGGAAACCAGGATACTAATGATATTGGCTCCCTGCAGCCCCAAGATGCCTTATTGTTTGTGGAGTGACTTAGCTGTTACTCGTAAATTAGCATTCTCTACTTTGGGTTACCAATGAGTTGGTGCATCTAAAAAACACATGCCTCAGTTAAGCTCAAGGACATAAGGTATGTGTTTCTAGATGTTTCCAATAGGAAACCCTTCCACTAAACTAATTTGGCTGACATTCTTTTTAGCATGTCTGTCACTCATGATGCCAAGAGCTGAATCTAAAATTTTCACTAAGTCAGGGGGGCCACAAATAAGTGATGCTGACAAATGTATCTTCCCTCAGGACCCTATTTTGATGAACACAGCTCAAAGTGATTAAATCTAGAATACCAGATACAGCAGATTTTACACAGGAGGCTTGTCAAATTAGGAAACTTTCCAAGTTTTCATTTGCTTGGGAGAAAATTGTTTTGTCAACTTTGGTACTTTGTATGCGTGTCCTGTAAAATTTGGAGATGTCTCAAAAAAGAAAGAGGCGCTAGAGGACAGCCATGCAGCTCTACTCTGTAGTCTAGATCTGTCTCTCAAGACCACTTCAATTTCCAGACCCTCAATTCTTCAGAAGGATGCTTCACTAATAAGCATAAAGCCCCATTATCAGGGGTAGGCCAGGGTAGCACTGAAAAGGACATTAGTCACCTGGACAGGCAATAGGACCAGATTCAGAGAGCCAGCATGAATTAAGTAGGAGCATTACTCAGATTGGAATCAGTGAAATGTTAATATACTTGACTGCTAACCAACAAACAGGTTGGGATTTGGAGTTTACCCAGAAGTAACTCAGAAGAAAGGTCTGGTTGTT